CAGGCAGCGCCTCGCAGAAAGATCTCGGGATCTTTGCCCCAGTCTCCAGTCTTCCTCCAACTCCAGCGAAGTAGAAGCCTACGCGGGGTTTATGTGTAGGCACTGCGGGGTTTCTGGAGGCTACAGAGTGCACGTAAACACCGTTTCCAGGTTTACGCGGGTTACAAGGCCTGGTCGTTGGGATGTGTCAGGGTTTGGAGGCTAGTGCCGGGTTCAATTCCCAATAATAATGGGGCAGGCTCGGGTAGATTGACTCAAGCAAGCCTGAATATGCGTGGGGTACATTGGTTATACAAGGATCGATAGAATCAGTATAGTTCAGGTAGAATCGAGGCACGTGGTTGGCGGTAATTGTAATCCTGCTAATTCTCTAGCTGTAGCATATTCAAACGATCATGATCATATTCTGCCCATATGGCAAAGACGTGCTCTATGATGGACTATCTATTTTATCACTTAATTGAAGTCTAGATATCCCTCCTGAACTTTGCAAGGAACAACCCATCCATCCCGCCACGTGACTTGCGCAGTTTCTTAAGTATTCAGCTACCTCGAGATTTGGGCTTCTATAGAAGATTGCTAGGCTTCCCGACACCGCAGTATGTGTATATCGCAGGACTCCTGATAACCTGTTTCGCGAATCCTACAATTGCGTGCCACTATGTATAATATGAGATCCTCTCCGGCCTTATAGGGTCTAGGTTGCTATGACCCACATAGCTGCATAATTGGATTGGACTTGGGGTTTCCTGTAATTCTTCAAAGGACGTTCTCATTTCAGCTCCGCGTAATATGTGCATGCATGCATACATGCCTGTGTTCCGTGAACATGCATGCATGCATAGCATGGAATTACAGGATCTCGTTCGATCGGAGTCACCTGACCATTTGGTGGCCGTACACCAACAAGCTTACCGCTTTTCTCTTGTGTAAGATAAAGACCATGAGTAGGCAGCGGTAGTGCGAGGCTTCGCAAAACTAGGGTGGATGCTGATCGAGTTTCCATTGAGTTGCTGCTTGTGTTTTCGCGTTGCGTAACCATGCGGTGGTGAGCTGGATGGGATTGGCTAGGCAAGATCGGACTTGAGCTAGGTTGGGGTGGCCAGACTAGCTGCGCAAATCTGACGCCAGCCCAAAGCCTAAAGCCGGAATGTTGGATCAGGGGCTAGGCTTTGCAGGTGCTGTCCTATGCCGGTATTGATGGTTGCTTGGGTTTTGGTGCCGGTTGCTGGATTTGTGGGGCTGCTGGCTGTTGTGGCGCAGGGATCCTTCGACTTGGGTTGCATGGGTTCGAGCAATCGAGGGGCTACAGGATTTAGGGTTGTCAGTCTTGTGTGTGTGTTGAGTGCAATAGCATATTTTAGGGGTTGCAGGATGTTGCAGGGTTGATGTCTATGCTGTGCATGGCACAGGTTTGGGCTTGCAGGGTTTGGGGTGCGCGATTTTGGGTTTGCGGGCTTTGCTGTTCCATGCAGCTGGGTGTAAGGGCTGGCTTGCGCGATTGCAGGATTTGGGGCTGCGGGGTTTCGGGTTTGTGGGCTTGCGTGGTTTGGGATCTTGCGTGGTTTGGGGTTGTGACGGTTGGGGTTTGTGCGGGTTGCGGGTTTGTGGGGTTTCGCAGCTTGGGGTTGCAAGCTTTGAGCTAGGCTCCTTTTGTGATTTCTGAGAGTGATCGAATATGGCAGTGTTCCGGTTCTTGTTTCCAGCGTTGGGCTTGCAGGTTTTTGTGGTTTGCGCAATTTCGTGCGTTTCTTCTCCGTTCTTGCGTGATTCAGGGGCTTGTGTGGCTAGCAGGTGCACTACTGAATTGCGAAGTGGCATTTTGCGCAATTTTGGGAAAATCGAAACACCTGAAAACATGCGCGCAACCCCCACAAACATGCGAGCAACAACCGAAAAGTTGCGCGCCAACAACTGCTTTTTTTTTAGCATGATTTTACGCTATGCTGTGTCGGTTTATCAGGTGCAGCCCCGATTTAGCCCGAAGGCTTCCGTGTACGCTTCGGATAGCGTAGGATCCCTCCCCGGTCCTTTTGTGATTTCATGGCTTTGTCAAGAGATGTGCATTCGGCAGAGACCCTGGTGTCTGGCCTATCGCTGCTGATGCGCCAAGCATCGGCCGGTGACGTGACAGGGTTGGAGCAGGTGGCTCAGGACAGATCGTGAATTTTACTATCATGATAGGGGCAGCACACTCTGCAGGCATCTAGGCAGTATCAGGTGTGTGGCTAGATTTCCACGCAACCCAAAGATCCGTTATACGTGCGTGGTGTGCATGTGCGAGACACACACTCCATAGAAGTTAATTGATTGTGTCTTTGCGTGCATTTGCGCATGTGTCTCTATAGGGGTGCTCTTTGTTGGGGTCGGCACACAATATATACATCATACGCGTAAACTGTAGTCTAGATAGATCGACCGCTCATGCTAATGCAGCACCCAACAGGAGCTTCAGAAAGCCCTGGACCTGTCCCGAGCTTCGCCTGTCAAGCGTGAGCCAGCCCCTTGTGCTGCTCTTGTTCCCGTGCCTTGGTACTACGCCGTCGGTCATATATGCTGCCCACATGACATGTACTGGTCAGAACCCTCTAGCCCTAAAGCCGAAAGCAATCCCAACTCAGGTGAAATCGGAATATGATGAGCACCATCTGCCGTCGCCAGCCACACCGACCCCTGTGACTTCGCCTTCCACGCCTGCGCGTTCGCCTGACCCTGAACTTCAGGTATCTCGGTCCCATCCCATATATGATCTCGCGTATTTTCTATATAGCTTGCATCATGCAAGATCTTCCCGTGCCTAGGAACCAAATCTACTATAGGACCCCGAAACATACTTTAGCGACCAAGTCCCGCAGTCTGAAGCACAATATTCTCGCCGAGCCCCCAAACCATGAAGCAGTGACCACAGAAAGCCCCAGCCCCATGCAGATATAAGATGCTTTGCTCTATAACGGACTAAAACCTGGATAGCCCTTACAGCTGCTTGATTTGTGCTATAGGCACATGAGCTATGTTTTCCTTCGGTGCGTAGTTCCCGTTGTGTCTGCATATTAATCCTCGAGAACCATATTGAGCCAGATTTATGAGCAGTGATTGCGTGAATCCACGTAACTTGTGATCACCTGAGTCGAGAAGCTACTGGGCCTCTGACCTATAAAAGAAGTTCGATCTGGCAAGCTCATTCCTAGGCAATGAAGCAGCAGATGGAGCTCATGAAAACCGTCATCCTGAAGCAGCAGGCTGCTCTGGATGCAAGCAAGGCGGGACAGCCCGCTTCGGCTCCCCCGGTGGCCAACTTGAAAAGGACTACCGTTCCTTGCCAATTCATTAAGTCTCATGCAATCGATATCTATCGATAGTATTAAAAAACCCAACAGGTCGATCGTCTAAACCCTAATAAACCCTCAGCCCTGGATCGATCCGTATGACACCAACCTGCCTATATAGAAACCCTCTAGCTGAACTAAAAAACCGTAGTGCCCAGGAACCCGAGACATTGCCAAAGCCCTCCAGCCCGCCCAAATCCGCGACTTCTACGCCTGCACCCGGTGCCGAGAAAGGCACAGTGCCACGCGGCACGAAGAGGACCCGGTCGCCTGCGACCTCAGACGATGAGAACGAGGAGCCCAGGGTGTTGACAAGTGCCACTTTGGACAAGAACGAGAAAAGCAAGGTCAGGAGAATTTGCACACCGAAGCCGTGCAGCGGACATCTTGAGGTTCCGGAGAATATCTTCGAGATGTTTAACGATGCCGCAAAAGGTCGTACAACCCTGTACCAAATGTGGGCCAAGAGTGGAGGTGTCAAGGTGGGCCGGGAGAGTTCTTTCAAAGTCCTAATAAGGTATTGATCTCCTAGCTATAGAACCAATAAACTCCCTAGGATCAGGCATGAAAGGGTGTCCTGCCTAGGCTGCTTTCCGACTTCCATGCAAATACATACGATGCTGTAGAATCAATTTTGGGAAGCACAACTGTATGTCTCGGTGCGCGATTCTTACTTGAAGGCTGTGTTCCTGGAGTCCGTGACAGTCTTGTGTGTGACAACTCGAAAGAAGAAGCTCACCGTCAAGGGAGGTTTCTACTCTCGAGATGATATGAGAACGGAGCTGAGCTACAGCGCGAACCTTGCATGAATTTAACTATCTCCACAGTGTCGGTCCCTGAACGCAATCTATTCCTGCAGCTCCCCATATATGAAATGTACGACAGGGTCTCAACCCATGTGTAGTCCCACCCGAATTCAGCTCAGGACTCGGATCGAGAAGATCGTGAAATGGGCGGAGAGCAAGGGCTTGGTTCGGCAGCCTGGCAGCAAGTTGTTCGCTACTTTCGAGAACCTGCCTTAGATGTTGTAAGGCTTTACAGCGTAAAAACCCTAAGGCGTTTTAGCCCCAATTCCTCTTCAACTTTACAGAACCTGGATTCGAGATAGGTTTAGGAGCTTCTTTGCATGGTTGGTGGGGTTTTATGCCTGGTGCAAACCGAGTTGTTCGCACTATATAATCTTAGCTGCTTGTGCCTTCAAGGAGTTTACAGCCATGCCTCCGATATTCCTGTGTTGAACCTTATATGCGTGTATGGATCAAAGTAGTTACCATGTGTTTTTGTTCATAATCTTCCGACTACATGCATTGTTTGCATTTACACTCACATCAGCACTCTAGAGTCTTAGAGCACTCGGTTTTCTCTGGCTTCTGGAACCCGATCTTGAAGATTACGCAAACTTGTAAGATTTAAGGTGTCTTGCCTGGTCTCACATATTGTATGCCTGAGTCGCACTGCTTTGAACCTGGGGCCCCGTATTGTGCATACACTACGTACCCAAGGAAGCTACCCAATAGAACCCCTGCGAAGTTAGCAAGGATCCTGAAACCCCGCAGCCTAGGTCTTCCAGAATCTAGCATGTAGTTGCGCCGGTTGAGGCAGTGTGAGTACGATGAGGATGTCCTGGAGTACTGGGTCAATATCAGGACAGAAGGAACCTTGTCCAAGGAAGACATGGAGAGCTTGACCCACGAGAAGAAGTATGAGGGCACCGGGGGAGACGAGTTGAACTTCAAACCACGGGTTCAGCTCGACGGGTTCGACTTCGGTGCTGATGATCCTTTGGTTCATCGTGGGGAACCGAGCAAGGAAGGCGACAAGCAGAAGCCTGCCTCTTGGGATCGCACACGAGTCGTTTGGAGAAGCCTCCGTCCTGCCATGCTGCACTGTGCTTATAGTTCTCTCCCTGCAACTTAAAGTTAAGGTTGCTGCTGTGCTGACTGAGCATCTCAATGCTACGTTGAAAGCAAAGAACAGCCTTGCAAGCTTTCTCGACAAGATGAGAGCGGCAGCTGCGGGTGACAAGAGCTGTGATGCGACTGTTGTCTGCAAGAAATACAGAAAGCACCGGAAGCCCTAAAACCTGTAAACCCTTATCATCCTGCACAAAGCTTCAAGCACGGTGATGCCTCTGCGATATCCGTGTAGCCTGAAGCTTCGCATGTTGACCTCAGGACCATCCGCAAGCTCGACGATATGAGCAGGGAGTTTGAGACGGTTTACGAGGACATGGCTGATATCAAGGCTGAAGGTCGGATCAATGGCTTTTCGGAGAAGCTACTCAGCCGCTCAAGATTCGCGTGAAACTCTGAATTTCCCGATGCTGGAGCATGTATGTGCTGCACCTATCAGTATCTGAGGATGACCAGTGACTGTCACGAGCTCTTCAAGAAGACTACAAAGCTGAACCTTGTCCTAGAATTAGTATGCGGGCATGCATGTATCGTGCTTGCAACACCGCACTTGAATGCTGCTTAGGATGAGCAAAGCCAGCACTTTGGAGGCTTCGCACAAGCAACCGGGACTGCATCTATTAAGTAGGTCGGTCTTGCCGGGCTTTGATTCTATCGACACCTAGCCTCGCGCTTTATAGCTTGACTGAGGCAGCAGCTGAGCAAGCTGCGCAAGGCCAAGGCCGCGAAGAAAAATCCCGAGGACACCCAGTGATCTTGGCTGCGCGGGCTGAAGCTGGGGGTTTGCTTTCTTCCTTCATAGAAACACGCGGTGTATGCTACCAGGTAGCTTCTGCGTTTGAAAATGCGTTTTGTGCATCTAGATGGATGGAGTTCGCTACCGAACTCCTGTTCGCTGCCTTGTCACAGGCTGTGCTAAAGATGGAACCACAGGAGCTCATTGCTAGTTGATTACAAACTTGTGAGGTCACTCTGTGCTCGTGATTTACGTAGTGTCTAGGCTGTACTCCAGCTGTATAGCGAGTTGATGGCACAGGCAGGTTTCTTGTCTCACCCTAGGAGGCTAATCATGCCTAATTCAGGGTAGCGGCAGGCAAACATCCATCGTTCGACAGTATATACTACACCCCAATCTAGTCCCGAGCCCCAATAGTCCAGTCGCGAAGAGTCAACATGTCGGTCGATCGTTGAAACGTCTGCTGCTATGGGAACCGCGCAGCTCAGGGACTGTGCTCGAGTGCAGGCTATTGTGTCTGATGACCGTTCGCGAAATCTTGCTGGGGTGAGAAAGACTGCAGCTTTTGCGTAATTCTCCGCTCTCGCCGGTAATCCTGAGTTGAAATAGTTCGCATGGCCTGGATTCCAAAACCGCAAGCCTAAGACCTCCGTAGTGCGCGAGAACATATAGACCCGCAGTCCGAAAGCCCAAGCCCCAAAGAACTGCCGACCAGAAGCCTATAAACCCTGCCAGACTTAAAGAACCTGTAGCTGTGGGCGCCAAGACCCTGAACCCCGATCGAACCCTATATCCTCAACACTCGAAAACCCCTAAAGTACCTTAAACCCAAAGTCCTCGATCCTACTATAGGGCCGATCATCCACCAACCTTTTACGCAAAAGCTAGCTGAAAAACATGAAACCACGCAGGTTCAGAAGATGACCGCTACATCGGGGAGAATGTCTATGTCTTCGTGAGAAAGTACGGCAAAGGGGTCTGGGCCCCACAGATCGGACGTGAGTATGGAATTCTATAGCCAAGTAGATCAAACGAATATAGAGTTCAGCAAGCTGTCGTGAGTCCATGCTACATGATGCACAGGCTCTTGCGTGAATCTGTCTTCCTTGCTTGATGCTTGCGTACATGCAGTCTTGTGCCGCCGTGGATCTCAATTTGCAGGTTTATGTATTCAGAGGTTGTAGTTTATTGGGCACGGATGCACACGCTTCAAATGACGCAATCGGCATACTTTCCAAGAGCTTCAGCGTAGAATGAGTTCGGCACGCTACCATGTTTTCCCATGGAGCGAATCAGAGGATGAAAATCCCTCCACTTCCTCGGAACCCAGCCCAGTTCCTTCAGTGACCAGGGCTCCGTGCCCATGTCAATGTCCGGCTCAGAAGCAGCAGCAGGGCAAGCCAGACCTGGATGTGCGGGTTATCACAGAAGATTCAACTGCTGGTAAAATCCTTTGGCACTGCCTGGATACCGTCAGGGCTATTCAAAAGGAGAACGGGGGTCAGCAATTGTGCGTCTTCAAGATAGGGCTCACTGCCAACCCAACGAAACGGAGGGAGAGTTACCGTCAGCAGAACTTCAAAAGCTTCGTCATCATCCACCAGACCTATCGCTCCGATCTTCTGGGTATGTTGGAAATGTTGGAGGCTGCTGTCATTGCAGAGTTTTACGACAATGGTTACCGATGCCGAAATCGACAACTGGGCGGTGAAAGTATGCGTGATAGAAACCAAGTGCCTCGTTTCCCGCCTCCATACTATGCGTATTGTGCAGCTACCAATGCTTCGCAGAAAGAACCCATTTTGGGTTAGTTGAGATTGGCTGTGTAAGATATAGGGGCGGGGGTGCTGGGTGTGAAAGCACACTGACAAGTCTGCACAATTCGGGCTTCGTGCGTTGTGCAAAAACGATCTTGCCTGCATGGGTTAGTCAGGTCTGGGAAGCTTACGAAGTTCTGCAAGCATGATGATCGGTCGTTGCATTCTATGCAAACTTTAGCTTTTGCAATCTTCTGTCGGCCGAGGTCCCGGCGAAAGACATCGTCCTGGATGCCAGGACCGCGGCGAAGACGGACTCCTGCCCCGTGTTAGCAAGCATCGCGAGAGTGAAAGAATCCAGCGCGGACGCTCCACTCTTCAAGATTTTCAGGGAGCACATGTTGGCACTGCCGGCGCCTATCTCTTTTAAGAAGGTTGCGACCCTGGAACAGTACCCGTATTTGGACCCACGACCTTTTCTTGAAACTTTGAGCGGGAATGGATTTTTTCACAAAGTGCTTGGGGTGCCGGTCCAGTCGGCTGAAGCATGTATGTTATCTTTCTGGGAGAAATTTCGAGAAGTGCATCCCAATCACGGGATATTTTCACAATACATTCCTCTGGGTAACCTCATTCCGTACTACCTTCATGGAGATGGTGGTCGCGGTTACAAAAAGGATCCGATCGAAATCTTATCAATGTTCCCTGCCCTTGGAGCAGGATCCAGGTCGAACCCTGTAGATTTGAGTGGCAAGCGAAAGGCTGATGACTTGACTCTGGGCATCAATCTTCGAGGGAACTCTGGCACAACAAGGTTTTTGTTCGCAGTTCTCAGCAGCCTTGTCTACAAGCGCCATCCAGGAGCTCTCGATGCGCTTTTGGATTTGTGGGGTCAGAAGTTGCAAAGCCTTTTCAGCGACGGATTTCAGGCCATGGGGACTACGTGGTATATTGCGATTATTGGATTCACTGGAGATTCTCCATTTGTCAAGAAAATCGGTCACATGAACCGAAGTTTCCACAATGTTCGCAAGCGGGCTTCGTCTAGGACTAAGGCTTCGCAAACTGGCTGCTGCTGGCTATGCATGGCAGGAACCGAAAACGAAACCGAGAATTACCCGTTCGAACACATCGGGTTCTTCGATCCACTTTGGCTACAGACACGAAGACAAAACAATCGAGTGCCTTGGCAGGGCAACGGCGGCCCCCTGCTGTCGTACATGCAACTGGATCCTGACGACACCCCGTCAGCCTGGTATCGAGCTGATCTGTTCCATGTGTTTCATGCGGGCGTCGGACAAGATTTTACGGCTTCTGCAATCACCTACAGCATGCGGATGTTGTTCAACCTAGGTGGCTTCGACCGAGACCTCGCAGCCTTGAATCGGCTCCTTGCTACATTCATGACATCACAGAAGAAACGCTTGCACTGCGGTTTTTTGTCGAAAGACCTGTTAGGCTACAGCTCCACTCGTGAGTTTCCTGAAGGGAAATGGTCGAAAAACAGTGACACTGCCGTGGTGATGCAGTTCTTGGTTTTTTTTTTGCAGCAGGAAGAGTTCGTGGGCAAAGTGCGAAGCGATCCAATCTTGAATGAAATCTTGGAGGCGGCTCTTGCTATGGGGCGAGCGATTCGCCAATGCTTCCGAGCCGACTACTGGATGTCATCAGACGATTGCATCGAAGTCATCCAGTCGCTTGGTATTGGCAGGATTTTGTGATTTCTCATGGTTGGCCTGTCCTCAAGTACCAATTCGATCGAATAACTGATTCATGAAGTTTAGTGTTCTTTCACTTTGGCTTGGGGAAGTCGAAAAAAAGAAGGAATGGCCACGCTTTCTTGTGCGGATATTCCAATCTTTCAAGCATGTGCTACGAGCAGAAGTTGTGCTTGTTCAAGAACAGACCGAAGATCCACTATCTCAACCATATTTTCTTACGGGTCTACGATGAATGGACAACAGGCGGGATAGCTGTCAATCCCGTCGCCGAAGCAACCTTTATGTCTGAAGACTTTGTTGGGCACACTGCCCGCATATCTCGAAGAGTGGATCCCAGGGCAATCGCTTTGAAGGTACTTCAGCGGTATCTGTGTTGGGCTCAACACGTTCTTGACAAGGATGCTCTGCTAATGCTCGAGCTTTCCTGGCTCGACTAGCTGGAACAAGAGCAACTCGAAAACAATATCAGCCTTTTCTTTTATCGAAGGGCTATTCTATCACAACGAAATCCTGACAAGAACCCTTACTTCCCAGGTTCGCTCCTCGAACCGCCGTGAAGCCAGCTCTCGCAATGGCCGCAAAACGAGGGCCGCAGATAGCTTCGCAAGGCTTTAAGCGGTTTCGCAAGCTTGCGGGTTGATTCGAGGCTGTTTGGGCTTCCGGAAGACCATTGATATTGAGGTTGAAGGTATTTCAACTTCACCATTTACAATGGTATGCCCAACACATCCCCTGCGATCTCAATCCGATGAATTTAGCCATCAACCTGACGAAACCCAAACGCACGAAATTTCAGGGCACGTGCGCTTTTCCTGAGGATTCCGGCTGCGGCTGTTTATTTCCAGAGGTTGGGCTTCACAGGTATGCATATACATGTACATATACAGATACACATACAGATAAACATACACATACATACTTTTATACATGTACATGTACATATACATATCCGCATAAGCGCACCCACACGTGCATGCAGTGCAACAGGCCGAAACAAAACCCGTCCTCCCAGCGGCAGCTTTGCCCACGGGCCACGGGGAGGCGGCAGAAGAGCTCGAGCCGCTTTCGCGGCAGGGCATAGCCTGTGCCGTGTTGATTCGGGCGGAAGGACACAGCTTTCGCATCGCTGTGAGCCGGCACTTTTGGTGCCGGCTGGGGGTGAAAGGGCGGGGGGAAAGACAGTCGAATGACAGGAGAACTCAGCCTTAACTTGCTCTACGGTCGCTCGGCGGAGCTAGCTCTGCTGCCTTGAAATACTGTCTTCAAGTCTTCAAAAGATCTTTGCCGCTACAAACTATACGAAGAAGCACTATGGAATATGGTGACACCGTGATGTCAGCACTTTTGGTGGCGAAATCGTACATGCGTTCCCTTGGGAACGGCCGTTCGCTCGAGAGATACTGCAATGTGCAATCCTCATCATGACTAGAAATCTGCGATCGGAGGCTTGTTCACTTCCTGCGCGAAGCACCTTCTACTGCGAGAGGCTGCAGGTCAGCATCGGAATTGTTTTCGGATTCTTCAGAGTCGACATGACACTTAAGTATGTGCTACAGTGCTACAGTACAGGAGACGCCGCGAAAGTGTCCGCGAAGTTGCTTATTTACCAGGGTCGAAGCACCCGGTCTTTGGCGATTCAATACGTATGTCGTCGTGATAAATTTCCTCTAAGGCGCTCTACGGTATCTTAATGAGGAACCCGGTTGCCGCAACAACAACCTCGACCCGAGGAAAGCCGAAGGGATTGGGTCAATTTCATGCTAGCGAGTTTTGTAACACCCGCGCTAAGTTCTGGATAGAAGCCTTTCACAAAGGTCCACTTTGGCACAGCTGCACTAGCCCTGTGAACTTGCTGGATTCTCGCTAACCCTGGCAAGTGCACAAACATCTCGATTTTGGCAGTTCACTCTCACGAGATGTGTGTTGCCAGATCACCTCCAACAGATGTACACGCTGCTCCATTTTGCGAAGCGGCAGCTAGCCACTCAGAAAAGCCATGAGTGCCAGAGTTTCCTGGTCCTCCTCCTCGTCCGAACCGCCAGCAGAACACAGCATCTGAAGCTTGTGATACTTTTCATGCTGCGCTCGCTGGCTTCCTCGGGCCACGTCTTCACCACCAGCAGATGCGAAGAAAGATGCCAGTTCAGCTTGGCCATGCGCGGGCAAACCCAGTTCATCTGCCCGTCTCGCGCTCTGTTGCTGCAGTATCCAGCGTGCCTTCTCCACCTGAGGCTGGTTCACATTCGGATGGGCTGTTGGGCCTCTTACCAAAGTAGAGGTAAAGCGAACAGACTATAGGGAACCAGGAGGCCACTTGCCGAATCGTCCGTGAAAAACCTCAGGTTATTGTGATGATGCTTAGCTTGGTGATGGTGATGATGATTGGCGCCGGAGGTGATGATGAGTTTCATCGGCAGTTGTTCGCAACTCCGTGCTCTGGTCCCGCAAGCCTGTGTAGTTTAAACTCGTCTGACCTGCTCTGGGGATGCCCAGCGAGGTCCTCGGGCATCCGCTTCCTCTCGCGTCCTTCCATGACCGAACATATACTGAGTATTCATTCACCGTTGTTGAGGGCTCAGTGTCTTCAAGTGTAGGGTGTCGCGATCCGAGGCAAGCACTGCGCGAAATGCGCTGACGCTATACAAATCTCTCTCTCTCTCTATATATATATACACATACATAGAGTATGATGACAAATGATGACAATGTAATCAAACCTAGTGCAAAGCAAACTCATCAGACTGCCTTGCAAATTAAGTTCCAGCAGATGTGAAACCCCGGTGCAATGCCATCACCGTCATTTTGCCAGAGATCCCCGAATCCCCATGACCCGGACCAACTCCTAGACTCCTACAGCGCTGATCCCGGGGTCTGAGACTGTCCTGAGACTGTGGAAATTGAAGAGGCTGGCTTCCAATTCGGGCTCCTGGACGCGCAAGGCCCACACGTCCACGAGGCTGGCGGCTTCCTTGTCGAGGTCTGGATTTTAGCCGAGGTGCTGTTTGCCAAGCTGAGAGTGTTCAAGTATGAACCCCGCGAGATACAGTTTTGTCGACAAAGCAAGCGTATATAGCAGCAAAAGTCACGAGGAATGAGGGCACTGTGATGCTGCTGGTAAATTGACATGGGGGGGCTGGCTCCTGGGCAGGGCTGCTGTTGAGCGACCTTGTGCCATTGCAGGCTGGCTCGGAAACACCTCCCCCAGCAATAGGCAGGACAAGCAGAACCCTGGGCCGTCTCGCCAAGGACCGCAAGGAATATACACACACCCGCGTTCTACCGTACCGAGCAACCACAAAATTGCGTACCCAGGTTCCTTTAGCTGCTCGGAGCTGCAGAAAGCGCCCTTGAGCCCCAAATGGAAGAAGCGCTCCGGTTCGAGGCCGGTCGTCGCCAGCTCCACCAGCTTTCCGGCCTCTGCATGAGACATGCAGTAACTGTGGGAATTTTGCCCCCGTGTTTACGTATGTTGCCTAAACAAACCAATTGTCCAATAGCGAAACGTGAAAATGTAGAGATTGGAACGAATCGAAAGCAAAACATAACGAAACAATCCCATGCGTTGAAAGTCCCTACAAAGACACATGAGGGAGAAGGAGAGTTTACTAAGAACACATAGAATCCTAGATTCCTCACTACAAGAACCTTGGCGTATGGCGTATGGATGCAGTGTTGCGTGCAGCCCGTTCGTGCTCGGCCTGGAAGCTGCGAAGGCGCTTGGCATGCTGCTGAGAGGTCCTTAGGTGCCTTTCCACCGGAGCACCGTCGCCGCCGTTGGCCAAGAAAGAGAAGGTCTTGTTGCAGAGGGTGCAAGTAAAGCTCGTCATGCCGATGCAGACGAACTGTGACTCTCTTGCATAGGCGAGAATGCAAGAGAGAATCTCTCTGGAAAAACACGGCAACCGAGACGGGGCTGCTGCATATCTGCCGCTGAAAGCCACGCAAAGAGCATGTCTTCGGTCGAAATACGTATTGCTTTTGTTGCAGTCTTGGCACACCTTGGCGATGCGTTTTCCCTTCCTGGCTTCGAAGGAGGAGAAGTCACTTTGGGCTCGGGGCCTAGCACAGCGGATGCACCACCAGGTCTCCGAGGCGCAGACGCGGCACCGGCGGCTGCCCTGAGGCCGCAGCATCTGGCTGTTGGCAAAGGCCGTCAAAGGAAGCAAGCCGCTGCAGGCACAGCAAGGCTGTGTCACGCACTCGTTGCATCGTCGGACTAAGTGGGACTCAGACTCCCCTCTGCCATCGTCCATCGCCGCTGCCTTCTGGAACTGAGAGCGGGTAAACATGTCGATTGGGAGGGATTTCTGACACGATCCGCAGAGGAAGGTCTTACCCTTCTCGCGCTCTCGAGCCGCAGAAAAGGCCAGGCGCTCGCTTGGCTCGGCAAGTTCTGTAGGCTGCTCCTGGCTTCGAAAATCGTACAAATGCGCCAAAGGGCAGGTTCCCCCACTCCCACTCTTCGCATTGATGCAGGACATCCTTACGCAGCCTTGATGCTCTGCGAAGCAAACGCGAGCTCCGGTCTTGCTCTCCAGCTCCTCTGCAATGGCCTCGGGATTTTGGATCCCGCAGTGGCCCAAGCGCAAGTGGACGGGCCGGAAGCACCGTCTGCGCTTCACCCACAAGGGGTACCTTCCGCTGGAGGACAGCTTGAAGAGAAAATGCAGGACTGCTTCTCGGTGAAGGCCTGGGCCAAGCTGATGCGTGGCATGCAACTCCTCCAAAATTCCTGTTGTCTCAGCAACGGCAAAGTGGCCAAGCGCTGACATGGCCTTGTCCGTAAGCAGGTTGCGCTGCAGCTTGAAGCAAATGGAGCAGTGACTTAGCCCGAGGCATGGCCAGCCAGCCAGAAAGGCAGCCAAAGCATCATCTGTCAGTCGTGTGCCTGCCAGGTCCACAGACACCTTGCGCACCCGGAGTTCGCTTTCGAAAGCCCCTCTATCTGCGGCTGCCAGCCGGGATAACTCCGGGAGCATGACCTGCTCGATAGCCGCCTGGGACCACTCGGTGCCCCCAAGCCACAGGTATAAATCGAAGGTTGCGCGGTGATACTTCCATCCCTGCTCCACCAGTTGCTTTAGGGAAGGGTTGGAATCCATGGCGCGGAGCAAAGGCTATACTGCGGCTAGGTCATCTATATAAGAATTCTAGCCACAGTCATGAATTCTGCTGGCATCTTCTCATGCTATCCGGTCACAAAGCCAAAAGTCTTTTGAACTGATGCGGTAATTAAGCCAGAACAAACGTGACTTCATTGTGTTGCCATAGAAAACAATCTGAATCTATGAACCGTGGTCTTTCATTTCTGTTGCCGCTGCTACTGCCTGGGTATCGATAAACAGCGGCCTCTAAACAAGACTAGAATTCGGGCCCTGGTCGGCTCCCGTGAGTCCTTGATCCTCAAGTCATTGACCGGGCCCTCATCGACAAGGGA